AATGTTGTCCCAAACCAACAGCGGCCGCTGTTGGGCAGGCGGCCTTCTGTCTCGAATGGACACAGGCCGCGGCGGCGCGGACAGCGAGTCCTGTTCAAAATGAACAGGATCCGCTGTTGGGCATTGTACCCATTCTTTCCGTGCCCATTTCGCTCGTGCAGAAAATCATGACCGGCGGCATGTGCGCGGCCCAGCGGGGGGGCCAGGGACGTAAATGAAACAAGAAGAGGCGCCGCAAAATCTGGGGGAAGATCATGGCCCCCGCCAAGAGATCCCCCCCCCCCCTAGTTAGTCATCACCCCCCACTTTGCCGCCCCCGAGCCTGGCGCCGCGAACCGACCGACCCCAGCGCGAGGCATCGCCTTCCCTGGCCGGCGCGGCGCATCTGCGCCACCTCGCGTGGCGCGGCGCGCCCGACATCTGTCCAATCGCGCGACCACGCGGGAGGTACCAATCGCGGCGCGAAGCCGCGACACTCAGAGCTGCATGGGGAGCTTTCTGCGGATGCGACGCATGTCATCTTCCCCCTTTTCAGGGCCCGGTGTGGAGGCAGAGGCGAGGGGGGGGGGGCTCACTCTCGGGCGTCGCGAGCGCGCACCGAAGCACCCCACCCCAAACAGTCCCGTTGAGGGGGTTTGGATGCGTGCGCGCGTTCCCTGCCAGCACTGTTTTTTGTTGTTCGTTTTTTTTTTGTTCTCTCTCTCTCTCTCTCTCTGTCTCTCTCTCTCTCTCTCTCTCTATATATATATATATATATATATATATATATATATATCAAAATATCGTGTTATGCATATATCCGTCACCCTGCCCGGGGGCTAGAATTTGAGTGTGCTCAGGTCCTTCGACTCCTGAGCCCACAGAAAGTATCAAGGTGCCAGGACCCAGACTGTCTGAGTGTTCCATGGGTTCCCGCATATTATGGCGCATTCCCGCGAGATTTTTCCGCGGCCAAGCGAGCCCCAAATACGCACTAAGAGGGCCCCACAAGGCCCCCGTTCCGGTCCAAGTTGGCCCCGAGTCGGCACAAGAGCGCTCCAAGATGTCCAAGATGGCCCAAGACCCCCAAGAGGGCCCTACGAGGCTAACATCATTGAATTCGCGTCGGCGTAGCAGATATGTTTGTGTCGTTGCCACTTCAGATTTCCAACCGACCAAGACGGCCCGAGAGGCCCCCAAGATCGCCGCAAGACGGCCCAGGAGGCGCCCAAGAGGGACCCCAGACGGCCCTAGAGAACCCCGAGACGGCCAAAGAAGCAATCAAGACGTCCCGACACGACCCCGAGAGGGGTCCCATTGTCGACCACGCCAACCCAAGATGACCCCCGGAGACCGCCAGCAGGCAGGCCCGCAAGAGCCCCCCAGAAGCTCCAGGAGGCCCCCAAGAAGTCCCGATCGGGCCCCAAGAGGCCCCCCAAGAGGACCCCAAGGTACCCCCAAAACCGCCTCCAAGAGTCTTCCGAAAGGCCTCCCACGATATCCCCACATGCATCCAAGAGGCCTCAGACCTACAATCAAGGCGCGGTGGCTGGATAGGCCGAAAGCCGCGAGATGACATATAGTACGACACAATGAACACACATCTAAAATATGGATGCACGCATGCACGCACCAACACGTGTACATCGATCTCTCCGTCATGCCTCTCTCCTGTCAAAGCCCAACTTCGAAACACCAACACTGTCCTGGGGGTCTTCCCTTTGCGACGCGCATGCGCCAGTACAGCTGCAAGACTCTGCTCCCTGCTCGCAGTCACATCCAGTCAGCTGCACCAGCATACGAAGGCTAGATGGGAAAGAGGGGGAATGGAGGCGGGATGTGGAAGGGAGGGAGGGAGGGACGAGACACGAGTGCACTGGCAAGGGAAGAGTCGGATGCCGCCTTCATCAAATTGTCGGTGGCCACTCCGTGCAGCTCGGAGGAGCCCAGCAGCGCTCTCGCGGATGTCAGCCTGACAAAGCACATGCTGTCTGAATCCACCTGTTATCCGCACGGCCTGCCTGCTATGACAGGGAGGCCGACACGTTGGCAGACTATGCAACGGTTGCGTACCCGTCGAGGAGAGATCCCCCGTCTGATATACAACGTCACTGTCCGAGAAGACTTTTCAAACCAAAAAATAGCAAGCGACATTGGTCGACGGAGAACGAGGGCGGGGAAGTGATGAGGAGAAGGCTTTCTCAGAAGGCGGCGGGATGTCTCAGAAGCCCGCGCGGCATCGGAGAAGTTGTCTGTGCCCTCGGGGGAAGCTTGGAGGAAGCTTCTCAAAGGCCGGGGGGCTTCCGAGCCTTCTGAGAAGGCCTGGCCACTTCTCACTTGCCCCCACTGCTCGTCGCCGCGTCGGAGTCGAGACCTCTGTCGTGGTCGCGCCTTTCCGCGCCGAGCGTGCGGCACCCTCCCCCGAATCGCTTCGCCAATGCTGCCACTGGCCATCGCTCGGACATCCATTCCCTGTGTTTTGTTTTCCGGTTTCGTGCGTGTTTTTTTCGCCAAGTGGTCAAGGATGCTCCTCGATGGTCCTCGCCGAAGGAAAAATGCACACGTCCGAGCGATGCCAAGGCCAACGCTGTGGGCGAGCAGAGGCCCGGCACGCCGCCAGCGGGCGGCTCCGTCGAGCCTCTCGAGGCGACCTCCCCGCTGCCGAGGAGCCTCGCCGGCGGCCAGATGCCAGAACGAGGCGGCATGAACTCCAAAAACCCAAGAGCCCGCAGGCAAGCAAGCAATCACTACCAGCCTCGAACGTATCCCTATCCCTAAGATTGACACGCCGAAAGGCGATGACAATCTTAGGGAGTCGCCCTCAAAAAATAAGGGAATCCCTAAGATTGGCATCGTGATGAGGAGGTGCCCAGCATAAGGATAGGGATATGTCCCAGGCTGGTAAAATCAAGCAAATGTCTGATCGGACGCCCGAAAGCGTCGCGGCCCACTACTGGGGAACCGGCAAACCTCTGACAAAAAAGGCCTGCCATGGCGCGCAGCGCCGGCGGCGAAGGAGAGACATTTGACGCAGTATTGCGGGGGGGCTGGTAGGGGAGGAGAGACAGGCAGGAGGCAGTGAGGAGGGGGAGCCCGCGCTGGACCCTGAGGATCCCCGAGAGTGCACCTCCCCCTGCCCCCCCCCGCTGAGGCTCCCAGGGCCCACCCCGGGCAGGCCACGGCGGTGCAGCAGCACGGCGTGGCTGCCCCTGGAAGCCCTCCTGCCGCCAAAAGGCAACTCCGATAGGGGGAGGCGAGGTGTGAGAGGAGGAGGGATGAGAAGAGGAGGAGGAGGAGAGGAGGATGAGGAGATAGGGAGGAGAAGAGAGAGGGCGAGGGGAGGAGGAGGAGGAGGAGGAGGAGGTAGAGGAGGAGGGGGAGGAGGAGGAGGAGAGGGAGGAAGAGGAGGAGGAGGAGGAGGAGGAGGAGGAGGGCACCGTGCCTGTCCCTGGGACGTCCTCTCGTCGGTGCCCCCCTGGGCGCTCGGGCGATGGAATCCGTGTGCAAAAATCTCTCTCCGGGCGGCGCGCGCATATGGGCGCACGACGGGGGTCCAGTGGCAGCTCACGGGAGCCTCCCAGACCATCTCGTCGGCGTTTGCGCATCGACGCTGGTCGACGCTAAGGCAGCACTCTTCTCGACGTCAAATCGACGGACGGCGACGCGAAGTCGGCGCTGTCTCATGGACTCCCAGACGCTCATCGACGCTAGTCGACGCCAAAGACGGAATTGGCGAGGGTGCACCAGGCTCCCATGACTTGCTACTGAACGAGGCCGGGGCGGCCTTCTCAGGAGGCAGCGGGCTTCTCAGAAAAGGCGCGGGGAGCCGCTCTTTCAGCACCAGTCTTCCCCCCACAACAAATAGCCCCCGCAGAACGCAGAAGGCGGGGCCCCTCTTCGGAAGCCTCCCTCCCGCGAACCGCGAAGCCTCACGACACCCTGCCGGCCCAGATCGGCTGCACGCAAGACCCGCTTGCACGGAACCCCCGTCTCTGGAGCCCGGGAATGGTGTTCTGGGAACGCGAAGAACACGAAGTGGCCTGCAGTTGGCTCCGGGCATTCCAAACGTGGCCTGGGAGTAGTGTTCTGGGAGTGGATCCCAAAGGATTCCGAAGAATTCTTAAGGATTCCTGAAAATTCCTGGGACCCAGTCGTGACGCACCCCTGCCGCGAGGGGCCTCGCTCTCTCGAGGCTCCCCCCCCCTCGGGCCGCCTGCCACGGCCTGTGGCGCGGGGCGGCGGGGCCGTGCACGGCAGGGGCCTCGGCCGGCAGGAGGCCGAGGCGCCCTCCCAGATTCTTGCTTTCCGAGTCCGTGGCCTCGGGTCGGGCACGTCCCCCTTGAGGCGGATTTTGGACGACAAATCAAACATAGTGGAACCTGGTATCACAAAATGCTCAAACCTAGTAAGAATCTCGTCCCCCGACTACTGTTTGATTATTGTTGGGTACTCCTCCTGTAGAGCGACGTGCCCGACTGCGCCCCAGAGGTTCCAACCCCTTCTTGCCCAGGGGCAGCGTTGCGCCGCGGACCCGTTCCTGGCGGCCCCGGGGCCCGATAAGAATGGACCCCGGAGGCCGCCATCGAGGAGCAGCATGCACGAATTGAGAAGTCATGCCGTCGGAGATCCGGGCTCGGGCAGCCGACCGCTCCCCGAGCAAGTCCGGAAGGTCGGCCGCGCTGTGTCCTGACGGCTCCGGGGTCAGCGAACGGCCTCCCGAGGCCAGACACTACGAAAACATGCCTCCTCCTCCTCCTCCTCCTCCTCCTCCTGGCCGCCACGACTCTTGCTCGCAACTCCTGCCTTGAACTGAGGCTTGCTCCGTGGAGGCCCCCAGGCCTCCCAGACGGGGCCGAGTATCGGCGGCGAGCCGGGGGGGGGGGGAGTGAGGAGGAGGAGGCCTTCTCAGAGGCTCGAAGTCCCGGGCCTTCTGAGAAGTTTCCCAAGCCTTCCCCGAAGACACAGAACACTTCTCAGAAGGCGCGAGGGCTTCTGAGAAGCTCCGCCGCCTTCTGAGAAGGCCTTCTCCTTCTCGCATCCCCCCCGGGCTCGCCGCCGATAAACGAGGTCGGAGGATCGCGACGCATCGGCGATGCACCGCCGATGCAGCACATGGGCGCCGCCGTCGTGAAGAGATTCGGGCCCCACATCGAGTCGCATGGCCGATGTCTTGGCGATACGGCACGATCCTCAAACAAGAGGCCTCCTAGGAGTAGATGGGGGCGAAGGATCTCGCCGCATCGCCAATGCATCGCCGATGCATCGGCGATGCATCTGCGACGCGCTGGCGACGTCGACGTTACATCGGCGACGTGGGCGAAGAGAAACTCGGGCACCGCATTGAGCCGCATCGGCGACGCATCGGCGATGCGGCGCGAACCTCCAACCCCACCTGCTCGGACCTCATCTGGGAGGCCTGCACCAACCACATTTACAGTCGGGGCGCTGACCTAAGGAACCCTAAATAAGGAACGGGGCCCCTATTTTCCACAAGTTAAACTTCGATTCCATATCGAAAACCTAAGGGAAAACCTAGGACAAGCTGTGAAACAATCAAGGAACACCGAGCCCCTCCCCAACGAAAAGGGTTCCTTCTCCAGGGCCTCGACTGTACTCCGTGGCCCTACGTGGGCAGCCAAGACGGAGCTTAGCGAGCTTCGGCCCCTCCGTGACGCCCTCGAACCAGCACGCGCACGTTCGGAGGTCCGCACGGGCTCCTTTGGCCGGCGCTGGACCCCATCTGCTCGGACCGCGCACTTCCGGGAGCGACCAAGAGGGAGGCCCAGGAGATCCAGGCTGTGAGCAGGGCGACCTCCAATTTCCTGCAGAACTCCATGCGGATGCAAACCACGCAAAACAGAAGAGGCGTTCGAATGAAGTGCAGCCCCTCCCCCGAATCACAAACCCCTCCTGGACGCTCCCGACACTTGGGAGGCCTGGAGTCAGACCGCCCCCAATGATGCCGGGGCAGCCGGCAAACCCTCGACTCAGCCATCCTCGCAGATTCGAGCAGGAGATCGACTGCAGAATCGTTTTACCCCAAGGCTGTCTTGCCCGTCGAACCCACCCCAAATATTGAGGTCGGGCAGCATGTCCTCCTACAATCATGTTTTGGAGGGACAGCAGCTTGTTTCAAGCAGTACGCAACAAAAGGTAAAACATCGAAACTTCGTCCCCAGACTACTTCTGGACTATTTGTGAGGTTTCCTCCTGTAGAGGGACATGCCCGACTCAACTCGAGATCCGCCCTCACGAGCAGAGCTGCAGCGTCGCAGAAAAACAAGCGCCCCGAGCACCGACGACGTCGACGACGACGACGACGATGGCGATGACGTCGACGATGACGCGGATGACGGTCATCGTCATCGTCATCGTCTTCGTCATCGTCGACATCGTCCCACCCCTTCAGCTTCCCCCTCCCTCCTCCCGCCTCCCGCCCCCCTCCTCCCCCCTCCTCCACTCCTCCCCCCTCCCTCCGCCTCCTCCTCCTCCGCCTCCCTTCTGGCCCCTCCTCCTCCTTCCTGCCTCCTCCTCCTCCTCCTCCGCCCTCCTCCTCCTCCGCCGCCTCCCCTCCCCCTCCCCTCTTCCTCCTCCCTCCTCTCCCTCCTGCCACCCCTCCTCCTCACTCCCCTCCTCATCCCTCCTCCCCCCTCCTCCCCCCTTCCTCCCCCCCTCCTCCTCCTCCTCGTCCTCCTCCCCTCCCCTCCTCCTCCTCCTCCTCCTCCTCCTCCTCCTCCTTTCCAACCCTCCCCCCCCCTCCCTCCCTAACTCCCTCCTCCCTCCCTCCCTCCGCTCCCTCCCATCCCTCCCTCCCTCCCTCCCACCCTCCCTCCCTCCCTCCCCACCTCCTCTCTCCTCCTCCCCTCCTCCTCCTCCTCCTCCCTCCTCCTCCTCCTCCTCCTCCTCCTCCTCCTCCTCCTCCACACAAATGTCACGGAGTCGGTGCGCGGGCGATTTCCCGCCACTGCTTAG